GCCTTTCAAAGCAACTTTTTGTGGCCTTTTAACCACTGAAATCCAGAGAATTTTCAGTGGTGAAAACCTTATTTTGAGGTCCCAAATAGGAGGGGGTGGTCGCCCCTCCTCTTGTCTTGTTTGCTTGTCTTGTTGGCCTATCAAATGAGCATGTATTTCTCCTTCTTGAGGCTTAGTTTGAGCATGTTTTTGTGACTTTTAGGACCTGACATAACTCTATTTTGGGCTGGTTTGGTCACCGCTTGCATGCTTCTTGTACTTGTAGTGTAATCCTACTTGTAGCCTTGCAAAGTAGCATGTCTTTGTGCCTTGAATCTGCTTAGTTCAAGCATGTTTTTAGCCATTATTAGCTATGCCATAACTTTGTTTTTGGCTGATTTGGTCACCTCTTGAATGCTTTTAGTACTTGTAGTGCAATCATGCTTGTTGGCCTAACATGCTTCATGCTTTTGTTCATCATTCTAGCATGTGTTAGCTTTGCTCCAGCGCATTTTTGCCACTGATTTAACATGCTTGAGGTCTGTTTTAAGTGATCTTGGTCATGTATGGCTTGCCTTGTAGGGCTATAGAGCAAATGGCTTTGCTAGTCTTGTATTTTGAGACCCCTAGCATGCCTTATTTGGAACATTTGTGTGATATAACATCATTTGATATATGATTTCAGAGCATGTTTCGCTGTCATACTCTCATGTTTATCATTCTTTCAGTGCTTTTGAGAAGTTAAGCATCATGCCTTGTTGGTGAGCCAATACATGAGCATATCTTTCTTGCCATCGATGCTGCGAGTTTAGCATGTTTTTGCTACTTTTTTGACCTGCCTTAGATTTGTTTTGAATGGTTAGGGTCATTTGAGCATTACTTAGTATGGTTGTAGTGTAAAGGGCCTTAACTAGCTTTGAGTTTTGGGGCCTTTAACATGTTGTGCATGTGATGTTTGCATGGTATGGCACCATTTAGCATGTAATTTTAGTGCATATAGTGTAGTCACACTCTCATATACTTCGCTTCTTCATGGCTTTTAAGGGTTGTGTATTATACCTGGCTTATAGGCAAACATGTGTGCATGTTTGTCTAGTCTTTTGAGCTTCATTTCCAGCATGTTTAGGCCACTGTTTTGGCATGATTGAGCTCTGTCCAGAGTTGGTGTGGTTGTTTAGGTTATGCATTGCATGCTTATTGTATGATGCTCTTCACTAGCCTTAGTGTTTTAGCTCCATAACATGTCTTGCATGCATTATTTCCATGATAGAGTCTTGTGCATGCCACCTTAGCATTGGTAGATGATCATGTTGCATTTTGCATTGCATCGTGTTCAACCGGACATTATGTTGAACACAAGGTGGATTGGCCCACTTCATACTCAAAGTGATGAAAGTGAGCCAATCCCCTTTGTCTTCGTTGCCTTTGATCACCCGTGATAAGGCCGTGGTCTTAGTGTTTTGCTTCTTTTGTTTGTTGTGCATTTATTGAATTTGCACATGTTGGATCTTTATCCGTCATGCATCGAGATGCGTGATTGATAGTCTTGGATCCAATGATGCCAACTCCATTGATGTTTTGTAGTGATATGGAGTGGCATAGTGCGTACACACCCTTGGGAGACCTTTCATTTTCTCTATTTTGTGCTCTGCTGCAGCTTGGTGTCACAGCACACCAGTGGCCGGCACCTTCTTATTGTTGGTCGGCAGCTCTTCATTTGTGGCCGGCAGTGTACACTTTTGGTCAGCAGAAGCTCCTCATAGCCGGTAGGCCACTGGTGCACTCCTCAGCACTATTTTGGTGGGATCCAACAGCTAGTTCTCATGGACACCCTGCAGACAGAGCCTCTAAAGAGCATTTGGAGAGCTTTTCGGGACGGGAATCGAGTGCATGCATCCTTCCTTGTTCAAGGTTGAGCTGAGGTAGCCTAATTTAGTGCTTTACTTGTTAATTAGCATTCGGTGTTGTAACTTAATTAATTTGTTTGATTAGTTAAAGTTTTGCAATAATTAGTTGTAGCTGGTTATTTAATTTGGTTGTGTAATAATTAGTCTAATTAGATTATTAGATTAGTTGATTAGCTTAGCATAGCTAGCTTAGCATATTCATTCGGACCCTCCGTCGAGAGGGCAAATTTTGTAATAAGTGTGCGTGTGTGTGATGCATATTTTCCAACCCCACGTCTTTCTCCCTTTTTTTTACCAGTTTTTGATGGTTAGTTTTAGGGCATGTCTCAATTAGCATACTTATACCTCGCATGTTTGCATTCATTCATCTGTCTTGCATGCACTGGACTCGGTGCATCATACTAACTGCATTGTGTTTCAATACCAATTTGAATACATGTTATCTAGTTGCATTCACATGACATCTTAGAATAGCCAAGCCTATCTTAGTTGCATTTTTACATGTGTTGCATAAGGCATTGTTGACATAGCTAGGATCATGCGTGATTACTAACTAACTTTTGTTTTAGCTTAGAGTATACTGTAAGTGTTTACGCTTTAGCATATTGCATGAGTGTGATTGCATATTACCATGATAGCATGCTTGCCATGAGGCTAACTGCTTAATTATTTAAACTGTATGAATGCCTGTGGATGAAGGCTTCATTGCTTGAATTGGAACAATTCATCAAAATGTGCATTTTAAGCCCACTCGAGAGTGGCAAATCATGTTTTAAGCCCACTTGAGGGTGGCAAATCCGCATTTTAGCCTGCTTAAGGGTAGCAACTTCAAACCATTTTCGAAAAACAAACATGAGATGTTTTGGTTCAAATTGAGTGATTTAGTCTATACTTGTATGCTGTGTGCATCACATAATAATTCTAGATTAATAACCGAAATAAAAACACATGCGTTTTCAAAAACAACATATCATGCTTAGTAGAGGCCGATCTTTGATCGGACGAGCGGGGGTGTTCATTTCATGACCTTCCCCCCTCGTACCCAAGTTCCCGAGCCGAGGCAATTTTGGTGATGACGGACACGTGGCCTTAGGCACGAGTCAGGGTTTCTTAAATTTCCCAAAAACAAAATATTTAGGTGGCGACTCTGAAATCTAGCAAAGCAGTCCATGTTTGGCGCTTTTTGATTAAAATCGATTTTCCAAAACGATTTGCAGATTTGGACCCTTTGGGGATTTATCAGTCTTGCATTGCACTTTGTGAGATTTGATTCAGAACCGTGACAGGAGTCCGAACTGTAGTAGCTAGAACCCAATTCGCGCCGTCATGCGCGGAGCGGAGTTCGAGCGGTCTACAGTTGCATACTAGAAATATGGGACTAAGTTGTTTTTCTTGACTTCATAATCCCCCCCGAGTTAATTAATTATTAACTTAGAATCCCCATAGACATCTAGGTCAACAATTTTTAGCTTTGTTGTCATTTGTAAACCAATGATCAAGGCCTAGTACTCAACAACATTGTTTGAGCAATTTTTGCCAAGAATAAATGAGTAAGGCAAAATGTGCTTCTGTGGTAAAACAAAAATGACACCTGCTCCTGCCCCTTCCTTCCTGGCAGCCCCATCAAAGAACATCATCCAAGGCTGTAAAACTTCTATGAACAATACATCTTCGTCAAGAAATTCCTCAGAAATTTCCCAATCAGCAAGGATGGGATGGTTGGCCAAAAAGTCTTCAAGGGCCTGCTCTTTCATCGCTTTTCTTGGCACACAAATTATCTTAAATTCATTAAAGAGGAGAGACCATCTTGCTAAGCGTCCTGAGAGGATGGGCTTAGACATAACATACTTTATTGGGTCGGCTCTTGCAATGAGATACACTGTATGGGTTTGGAGATAATGTCTCAATTTTTGAGAGGCAAAAACAAACGCCAAACACATTTTCTCAATGGGTGAGTACTTGAGTTCATTTTCAGTTAATCTACAACTCAAGTAATAGAGTGCTCGCTCTTTATTTTCTTTGTTATTTTGTGCCAGCATCGCTCCAAGAGACTTTTCTTGAGCCACAATGTAAAGTATCAATGGTTTCCCCTGAATAGGACATCCTAATACTAGTGGATGAAGCAAGTATCTCTTAATACTATCGAAAGCATTTTGACATGCCTGATCCCAAACAAATGGAGCCTCCTTTTCCATCAGTCGATTGAAAGGTTGACAACGGCCTGCCAAATTTGCAATGAATCTGCGGATATATGCCAAGTGACCTTGGAGGCTTCTAAGTTCCTTCAGGTTTTTTGGTGGTGGCATCTTTTGTATAGTATCGATTTTGGACTGATCAACCTCAATGCCTCTATGTCGAAAAATAAAGCCGAGGAATTTTCCAGACGTGACTCCAAATGCGCGTTTGAGTGGATTCATCTTCAAGTCATATACTTTCTCAGCCGGTTGAAGACTGCATAAAGGTCCTCTAGATAATTTTCCCTTTTCTTAGTTTTGACCACCAAATCATCAACATAGCACTCAACAAATTTATGGAGCATGTCATCGAAGATCTTTTGCATGGCACGTTGATAGGTGGCACCGGCATTCTTGAATCCAAAAGGCATCACTTTAGAACAATAGATGCCTTTTGTGGTACGAAGTACAGTTAACTCTTCATCCTCAGGTGCCATCCATATTTGGTTGTATCCTGAACACCCATCCATGAAAGACAACATCTCGTGTGTGGTAGTGGCGTTTATCATTAATTCCATAATAGGAAGCGAAAAGTCATCCTTGGGACATGCTTCGTCCAAATTTCGAAAGTCGACACATATTCTAATCGGTCCATTCTTCTTGACTACCGGGACAATACTTGATATCCATGTTAGATATTTTACTTCACGTATGAACCCAGCTTCGATTAACTTGTTGACTTCTTCTTCCACTTTTAATTTTGGAAACTCCAAAATTGACTATAATTTCCAAGAAACAAGCAATTTATTTATTATTGTATGGACATAATTTGCATTCAAATTTAATTTAAATTTGAATTATTCCACTAAAATTTTGATAAAATATTCCCCACACATTTTGGTTGACCCAATTGTCAAAATAGGTTCACTTTTCTTTTGACATGACCTATAATTTAAAATGGGTTGAGATCCATAATTTTAGTAGGACCTATATTCATTTGAAAATTTTGACCATCTTAATTTTGACCAATCAAGAAAATTTATTTACCTTGATTAATCAGACGGTGACCAAGACACATGAAAATTTAAGTGTCTACACTACTATTGAAGGTCGCGATGTGTTGGCAGTGAGGAGCTCTCATGAGTTTGAACCTGAATGGTTAAAACTTCTTCAAGAGATTCAGCAAAAAGCAATTATACTTGTTGGACAACTTCCTCCGATGCTGAATTCTGGGGACGACGATGACAACGAGGAATGGAAAGCCATGAAAGAGTGGCTTGACAAGCAATCTAAAGGGTCAATGGTCTATGTTGCATTCGAGAGTGAAGCAAAACTGAGTCAAGCCGAAGTCACTGAGATAGCTCTAGGGTTAGAGCTATCCAAGTTACCATTTTTTTGGGCTCTGAGGATGCGATGTTGTTTGGCTGATACTGATGTTGTTGTGTTGCCAGATGGGTTTGAGGACAAAATGAAGGGACGCGGAGTGGTGTGGATGAGTTGGGCCCCTCAACTCAAGATACTGAGTCATGACTCAGTGGGTGGGTTCTTGAGTCACTCTGGGTGGAGTTTGATGGTTGAGGCAATGCAATTCGAGAAGGCTCTTATTTTGTTGATTTTCTTGGCAGAGCAAGGATTGATTTCTGGGCTTATTGAGGATAAGAAGATGTCATACTCAGTGCCTAGAGACAAGTGAGATGGGTGGTTCATGAGGGACTCAATGGCCGAGTCACTAGATTGATGGTTGAGAAAGCGAGGCAAATATACAGGGAGCAAGTCGAAGAAATGAAAATGTCGTTTGTGGACAGGAATGTTCACACTACAATATATAAAAATTTTAGAGATTAAATTTTTTGATTCTTAAAAGTAAAAATTTTATTGTAAAAGACATTTAGAGGCCAATTTCTATCGTCGTAAAGATAGTCGCTAAAAGGTTGTCTCAAAAAGTCAAATGTCACTAATAAATATACTTTTAGGAACAAAATAATTTGGTCTAAAAAAGGTTTATTGTTTAAAACAAAATATTTGGTCCCAAAAAGATAATAATTCATCACTAATATCTAATTTTTTATTGTTAAAAATATAATAACGCCATTTTTCTCAAGAAAAATATTTAATTCCTAAAAAATAATTTTATTCTTAAATTTTTGGTTTCTAAAACTTTGATTTTTGGTAATGTCAAACACAAATTTGTCAACAACTTGTTAGATTATTGTAATCTCAAAGACAAATTTGTCAACAACTTGTTGGATTATTTTAAGGCTCACAGAGTGAGCGAAATGAAGTGAAGATGCAAAATTGGAGGACTAATTTAAACCAACCAATCAGTTCAAAAAAATAAAAATAAATAAATAAATTAAACCAGCCAATCTATCTTCTTCTGTCAAAATGGGAAACAAACAAGTGTTTATAATTTGTATTTAACGTTTAATGTGGTAAGGTTGTGTGTCATATGTAATATTAGTGCGTTTGATTATTATAAATGTCATAATTCAATCTTACCGGAGTCATAAATAAATTTTTTAAAAAAGAAAGTTGTAACCAAACACTATAATTAAATAGCTTTTGGTTATAACTAATGAAAAATCTAGAAATCCCCTAGATGTTGATTTGTGATTATGTATCAATTTTAACCAGAATATAACAATCCCAATCAAACAATCAAGACAAAGAGACACGACGATTTTACGTGGAAAAAACCTCCAACTGTGATAAAAAAACCACGGGCAACAGCCACAAAACAATCCACTAAGAAGATTTAAAGGAATTACACAGGTATACTCTCAATTACCTAGCGAATCCACGCCTAATTGAACCAACCTCTATGTGCCTCTTCCAACCCATCTTCACCTCAGAATTGGCTTTACAATGAGCCACCCCGGAATCCACCAAAGCTTCAGGCTCGAATTCTTCAGAATCTACTGAAGAACAACTCTCTTTTTTGTATAACAAACAAAACCTTTGATGTACTCTCTTTAAACCATGAGTTGAATACTCAATAAAACATCAAAGAAAACTCACAAAGTATCCCCAGATATAAACCCTAGAACCCAAAAGAAGATCTGGAGTAGTTATCCTAAAATCTGACCCAACATGCGAATTTATAGAATCTGTCCCGCGATCTCCGCTCGAGCGCCAAACAGCCTGCTCGAGCGGCTTCAGCAAAATATGCGCGAAATATAACAGAGGTCCGCTCGAGCGCTAGAGAGCCTGCTCGAGTGCGAAATCACACGTCTCAGTATTTTTACAGGCGACCAAAACTGCTGGAACCAGGGATTCTCCACTCGAGCGGGGTAATGTCCGCTCGAGCGGACAGGCAACTTGGAATGCATTTTTGCATTTTGCTTCGGGGGCGCTGCCCCTCGACCCCACCGTGGCGGTACCCTGGACCCGCCAAGGGGCGTTGCCCCCTGGACCCCCGCAATCCCCGTCATAATCAGCGAAGTGGCAATCTTGAAAGCTTTATCATCACAAACTTCTCTGAAAGGCTTGATTCGGGTTGGATTCGCATCTAACAACTCATAGCCTCACTGAAATAAAAATGCGAATAAAACTACAACTCAAAGGAGTTTTGTCAAACGGGATTGCCAAGAAATAAAACCTAACAACTAATATCACAGTCATAACTAATATCACAATAGATTATAATTAAAGACCATAAATGTCATATCTGTTAGAAATAAAAATGCTACACAACAATACTCGCACAAATTTGAAAGAGAATTGTAGAAAACAAATGTAACTCTGGTAGTTCACTCATATTATTCATTGCATTCTCCTACTCAATCTTCCACTATATAGATTAATTTCATGTTTGACTAATTTAAATTGCTAGCTAGATTTGTTGGGCCAAATTCACTAAAACTAAAACTAAAACTAAAATAGCTACTGTAACGCCCTCAAAAAAAGATACATATAAACCAATCATTCATGACATCCATAGACATGAGAGAATAAAATATCTTTTCATTTATCAGAGTATTTAGTACAAAATATTATATGTTGACAACAAAAGTAAATGTCCCACGGGCTTACAACTTTCCGAGTCAACACTTGGTTGCAACAAAAGAGAGTTCTAACTCTTGACATATTAAGCCCATGGCTTGAAGTACATGTAATGCAAAAAGGTAACTACAAAAATAAGCCTTCACCTTCTAAGCCTCCTAAGCTACATCATTGGAGGCGGCATATCACCTGTACTTGAAAATGGTATCCCACGTAGGGTAAGCCAAAGCCTAGTAGAGATACGCCAAACATAATATGAGAATTAACTAAAACATTAGGATTTGATAAATGTGTAGCCCATATAAACCAACGTACATCTTTTCCATAACCAATTCATATTCACAACCACATTTTGATCCCTTTCCGTTTCATTATCCAATCTAATTCATATATATGGTTCATTGTTTATTCGAACAGTTCAAAATGAGACTACAACTCATATTATCAACACTTCAAGCATAATCAATTCAAAACGAGACTACAACTCATATTATTTACATTTTAATACTTCAATTCACTTACGTTATGCAAACGTAATTAAGATTTCGGGACTTTCACCCTGGACACTCCGGCCAACTTAGTTATCAATAGAGCCCATCCCCTATCTCCTTCCAAACAGGTTTGAGAGTACATCCCCTATCTCCTCCCAAACCATGGAGTACATCCACTGTCTCCTCCCAAACAAGATACATGTGCAATGTATTTAAACGCTTTATCATATACAATAATCAATCCAGGCACATATTCAATGTGTTAATTCAATGGTCATATTTAATGACATAACTCAATTGATTAGTTTTAATTCACCTAATCATCATGCTGTGTCTACAACAATCAAGACTATCCTCCACCGATAGCCCAAAGCAGTTATTTCTAAACAGATAAATAAATATATCAAACAGATAAATTATCAACATTCTCATAGGTGAGTGATTAATCAATCCAACTACACCATTCATTCTCATAATTTCCCAATTTCATAACTTTCAACTCAATTTCATATTTCCATAACTTTCCCAAATTAATTATACAAATTAATTATTCAATTTCAATTAGGGCTTTAATCCCCCTATTCTCAAACATTGCCCCCAAGGCCAATTTCACTCATATTACCTAAGCAACCCCAATTTCGAGTCTTATATACATGTAAGTTCAAACATGGAAAACCCCTCTTTCAATATTTTAAGTTTCAAACCCTAACTTCTAAAACTCCCAAACAATACCATCTATACAAAATACCCAATGTTTATGTCAAAACTCATAGAAAGGAGTAGGCTATCCCTACCTCAAGTTTCGGAGCTCAAAGGAGAAGAAGGAAGAAACTCGAAGTGCTCCAAATCTAACATTTTTCGGATCAAAGTGTAGCCCAAGCAAAGCTCTACCTTTTCTTCAAAGAGACTAGGGTAAAGACACCCAAGAAATAAGGGTATTTCTAGAGAGAAGGTGTATGTATAGAGAGAGTGTGCCAGATCTAGGGTTTGATGGAAGAAGGGAGTGAAAAAGTGTGCAAAAATACGCTGCTGCGAACTGATACACTCGAGGCTCGCTCGAGCGAAGGATTGGTCGTTCGAGCGACCAGACACAAAAGAACCTCGCTCGAGCACAAGAAGCGTCGCTCGAGCGAACAATGTGAAGCTTCAGGTCTGCAACCCAGAAGCATGCTTGAGCGCAAGAGTGCTCGCTTGAGCGAAGAAACTCAAAACATAGTCCTCGCTCGCTCGAGCAAAGAAACACAACCTTCAGGTCAAAAAGAGAAGCAGATGCACGCTTGAGCGCAAGAGTGCTCGCTTGAGCCAAGAGACACACCACTCAAATCTCGCTCGAGCGAAGGAACCCTGGCTCGAGCGAAGGAACTAAAACCTAAAGCTTGCTCAAGCGACAAAAGCCTCGCTCGAGTGAAGAAACCAAAAATCTGGGCAGCAACTATTTATTTCTAATCACATCCAACCTGCTACAAACGTGCCCAATACATCCCAAAACTCGAATACAAAGAATTAAAGGATGGAAATGCGATATAGACAACAACAATCATGACGGAACCCAAGTCCGAAATACAATAAACAATGGAGGGAAAACCGGGATCGCTATAGCTACATTAATAATTAATTTGATAAAATTAAAATTTAATAATTTACTCACTATGTTTGAATCACCTTCAAATATTGTATAGAATAAAGTGATAGTAACATATTCAAATAAAGTATATAGAATAAAGTGACGGTTGTTATATCTGTATCTATACAATATATATAAAGCACGGATGCAAAGTGAACAGTATTTTCAGCCAAGTATGAACAATGTTTTTTCAATAGTTGAATAGTCAATTTTGTCCTTGTGCTTTATAGCTTTTCTTCTTTAGATGCAAGGGCATTGATGGAAAACTGACTATAAAAAAGATCTGTAGTGTATACCCACTCTCTCTTTATATTTGTCTCAGAGAACCTTTCATTCTCTTCCCAACGGTGATCTTCCTCCACCGACCACGATATTCGACCACCTCCTCTCTTCTCTCACCGATCTCCTCCTTCCTCTCTTCTCTAGCGACCGCCAATGAAATCTCCTATGTGGTGTCGATTTGTTTGATTTTGTGGGTATTCATAGTGTTCACCAGTGAATCAAACGGAAATTGAGCCCAAGGATGGAAGAATACGACACAAGCTTCTGTTAAGGTAAAGACATAGATGAAGAATG